TGTGTGTGTGTGTGTGTGTGTGTGTGTGTGTGTGTGTGTGTGTGTGTTTAGGTGAATAATATGTATCTAGAGGACGTGATGCATGAAGACGCTGTAGCGGCGCTGAAAAACACAGGAGACGTGGTTTATCTGAGAGTAGCCAAAACTCTTCATCATCATCAAGACGCCTACAATCCTCCTGACATCACCAGCTGTGAGCGCGCACACACACACACTCCCACACGCTCAATCACACTCCTACACAGCACACACACTCCTACACACACACTCACAGCTGATCTCTGATGTCTGTGTGTTTCTGCAGCGTATTCTCCTCATATGGACATGTCTGATTACCCACAAGCCCTCAGCCCCTCGTCTCCACGCCGTTACTCCCCCATCCCTAAAGCTCTGCTGCTGGGGGACGAGGACATTCCCAGGTCAACACACTCATACACACCTTCTGCTGCTCTTACAGAGTCTGTTTCTGTAATGATTCAGACCAGCACAAACATTACAAAAAGTATCACATGTGTTCGCAGGGAGCCGCGCCGAGTGGTCATTCTCAGGGGTTCCACGGGTTTGGGCTTTAATATTGTGGGCGGTGAGGATGGTGAGGGGATCTTCATCTCCTTCATTCTGGCAGGAGGAGCCGCTGATCTGAGCGAAGAGCTGAGGAAAGGAGATCAGATCCTGAGTGTATGTCACACACACACACACACACACGTCTGGTCAGCTATCCTTGTGGGGACTCTCCATAGGGGTAATGGTTTTTATACTGTACAGACCGTATATTCTATTGTCCTACACCAACCCTACCCCTAAACCTACCCACACTCACTCACTCACTCACACACACTCACTGACACACACACACACACACACACCCTGTCACTCCAGCGTTGCTGTAATGTTGTTGTGATGCTGCAGGTGAACGGTGTGGATCTGCGTCACGCGACTCACGAGCAAGCGGCGGCGGCGCTGAAGAGCGCAGGACAAACCGTCACCATCATCGCACAGTACAGACCCGAGGGTGAGACGCAGAGAAATCCAGCCTTATTAGCCCTGTCCTGACACACCAGATCAGCGCATCATGTGTGTGTGTGTATGTTTAGAGTACAGCAGGTTTGAGGCAAAGATTCACGATCTGCGGGAGCAGCTGATGAACAGCAGTTTAGTTTCTGCAGCGGCGTCATTACGCAGCGGGAAGAGAAGCTTCTTCATCAGGTACTGAAGACAGAAACACACACAGAGTCCAGAACAAACCACACACACACACACACTCACACTCACACACACACACACACAGAGTCCAGAACAAACCACACACCTGCCAACGACCGATGACTTCACAACATTTACTGCTCATGAATACTGTCTTCATTAAAAAACAGCCGGTTACTACTGCTACTGCTTACGGCTCAACCATTTGGAGAAACAAATCAAATTTAGATTTTTTTTACTCACACTCACACTCACACTCACACTCACACTCACACTCACACTCACACACACACACACACAGAGTCCAGAACAAACCACACACCTGCCAACGACCGATGACTTCACAACATTTACTGCTCATGAATACTGTCTTCATTAAAAAACAGCCGGTTACTACTGCTACTGCTTACGGCTCAACCATTTGGAGAAACAAATCAAATTTAGATTTTTTTTCTACACTAATAATAATAACTACATATCTGTCTCTAAGATTACAACTAATATTTTGGAGGGTTACAGCTGTCAGAAATGAGTAGAAAGTGTAGAGGATCTTGCTTTGAGTGACTTCAGCACATCTGCAGGACTTCACTAGTTTCTCACACTGCGCTGCTGTGATCTCGGTCCACACTTCTTCCAGAGCTTTTATTTTGGTGGAAGACTGCAGGGAGAATTCATGAAAATTTTCATTTTGTACAGATTTTTACTCACATTTGGTGCTTGGAGAGTGTTCATTTTGGGTCCTGATTATATCTCTCAGCAATGAGGTGAGAACTTAGCAGTTTATGTAATTAAACCAACAAGCTTCACACTCACTCGTTCTCTCTCTCTCTCTCTCGTTAATTCATTCGAATTCATTTAAATAAACATCATCTTGGCGCTACTTTATTTCACTAAAGAATTCCACCTCTAACGAGCTGTAGGTAAAATAGCCTAACAAATGAAAATTACCGTCATTATTGCGATCACTGCAGACAATCCTTTTGTGCGGGAATTAATTTAAACACAGATATCAGATACCAGTCGCGTCTGAAGTGAATGTAAACAGACGGGACACAAGATGGGATCTGAGCATTAAGACCTGCAGTGTAAATGCAGCCTAACAGTCTTAAGATTCAGCCTTCCTCAAATAAAATAAAATAAAAGCCTAAAAAGGTCTTAAATCACAGCAGAGAGTCTTACATTCATAAAGTCATGGCATTAAATGTTCATTAATGAATCTCTTCCTCAGTGTTTCTGTCTTGTTTTCCAGCACAAATATCGAAACATCCTTAAATCAAGATATTTGAAATGCAAAATGAAGATATGAAGTCTTGTTTTCTGAGAAATTGAACAAAATGAAGTGAGTTTATGATTAAAACAAGAACAAACATCTGTCAGTGGGGAATGAAACCTTGTTTCCCTTTGAATTAAGTTGATTATTTTCTGACAGATATTTGTTCTCGTTTTATATTTTTATTAAATTGTGTTGAATTTCTCAGAAAGCAAGACTTATTATCTTCTGTCATTTTGCTTCTCTGGTAAATGTGTCATGATCTTTAGACATTTGAACTGGAAAGCAAGACAGAAACACTTCTACAGTCTGATCAGAAGATGCCGTTAAAGTTATTTCAGTACTTTCTTTAAGGTTTAGGTAAGTAATAACCCTGGTCTGACTGACCCGCGACACACACAACGAGCAGCACTTCTCCTTATAATCCACATATGACGATGATAAACTATGAATGGCAGGCGAGTGTTTGTTCGGACTGTTTTCTGCACACAAGACTCGCTGAAGAGGCTTCCTGTGTTTGACAGACACGACGCGGCCCAAGCGCGAGTACGAGGTGGACAGCCGCGACTATCACTTCGTGCCGTCACGTGAACAGATGGAGAAAGACATTCAGAGTCACCGGTTCATCGAGGCCGGACAGTACAACAACCACCTGTACGGCACCAGCGTCCAGAGCGTCAGACAGGTGGCAGAACAGCAGGGGAAGCACTGCATCCTGGATGTTTCAGCGAATGCAGTGAGGAGGTTACAGGCCGCCCAACTTCACCCCATCGCCATCTTTATACGACCCTCATCCCTGCAGAACATACTGTGAGTCTGTGAGTGTGTGTGTGTGTGTG